ACATCAAGTTCCAGCAGACAGCTGTGGTCTGTAGGCAACACTGAGAGTTGTAGGAAATACGAAATTAGGTTGCAATTACACCAAGAGGGGAGGCATCCAATCTGGGTCATAAACATGCTCAATGTCTTAACAGAATTCTGATGGTTGTCTTAGCAGTGCTGTGATGGAAAGACTCCTAGTAACCAGTAACCAAGGTCAGTTAAAACACGAGAGTGGTTGAGATCCACAGTGGCACTAAGTCTGGCTTATGGACTCCTGTGGTGTGGGTGCCTGCACCTCTTACTTAGCACAGAGCAGAATCAGGTTCCTCAAGGTGGCATTCACAGTCACCAGTGTAGTGGCCAGAGACCCTCACAAGAGAAAGGCGTTTCCATTCTCAAAGAGAATCACATATGTAGACTTGGAATTCTCTAAATTCATTTCAAAACCACATAAGTTACTTACTTGCAAGATGTGTCCTTGTCCTTTAGAAAGCTGTGATCTTCTTTACTTTCTCCCAGCAAAATAATCTAACACTTTGCTGTGCCATGTCTCAGCTTCAAAATCTGAGCGCCCGTTATATAGAGGCACCACCTGATACTGCAGCGCAGTCCTGGGAATTATCATGTAAAGAAGACAGACTCTGGGTCACTCTCACCCTTCTTTATGGCTTTAACAGTGGCCCACTGCATGAACAGCAGCATTTTTCTCTTAGATGCTCCCTGCTTTTAGTGAACTTAGCAGTATTAGTGTATGGTATAGAGCTCAAACTGCATTAGGTAAATAATTGTAGACCCAGTAAAAGTAAAAGTAGGCAAGTTTTCAAACTAGCAGCCTAGTCTGACAATCTGCTAAGGCTTAGCCCTTTGAAAGTGATGGAAATTCTAGTTGTGAACCAAAACGATTTTGGAAATGACAGAGGATTTCCTTGACTACAACGGTAGGCTTTTGACACTTAGGTAGAAATTGAAGGAGCATGATGATGGATATATTCATTTCAGTTCCAACCGAGTCCTAATGAAAATGCCTAAGCCTTTATGTGTATTTCTACCTAAATTTAATTTTCTTGTTCATTAGTGATAGTGTAGATCTGCTTGCTTGGAGTGGGAGTGGATGAGAGGGAGATTAAAAAAGAGAATATGAGATCTGAGATTTGTAGAAAACTGTATTAAAAGTCCCATTTTACCTTAACCCATTATTCCAGCAGTAGAAAAAAACTGTTCTGCAAAATCTAGTTGCAAAAACTTAACTGTTAAACATAGCTATGGAAGGTGAGGGGACTGCATTCAAGATCCTTGTATGTTTCCTTCAAATGGGAAACATGTTCCTGGACAATATTTCACATGTAGGTCTCTGGTTCAAATTCAGTTATGTCTGTGATTAAAGCAAAAACTTGCTGCCTTTCAGCTTTCTGATCTGTGTGACAGAAATGGACAGTGTCCATGGCAAAGGAAAATTGTTGGAATTTCCCCTTTTCAGCCCACAGGTGGCAGACAGTGAAGGGACAGTCCAGTTTGATGGTGACAGCTACGCCATGGTGAGCCGACCGATTCGCTGGAACCCAAATATTTCCACAGTTATGTTCAAATTCAGGACATTCTCATCAAATGCCCTGCTGATGTATCTTGCTACTGATGACTTGGTAAGAACAACCTGCTAACCTCCATGCTCCTTACAGTTTTCATGCCATTTTTGCAGTGACTGAATTCATCATATTATGGAAAAAAAATACTAATTTACTGTAGCACTGTCCTAGTATGATGTTGCCTGCTATGATTCTTCACTGCTGTCCAAGTGAAGAGAATGTTATAGTGTGGACATTTATGACCTACTGTTCACTGGCTGGGGAGTATTGTGTTGGGCTGAGGGGAATTCCAGCCTTTCCGAAATTATTAATTAATTTTAATTCATCCCAAACGTTTACCTGTGCAAACATTGTCAGTTGTGGTTGTACATTTGTAGTTTAAGATATCATAGGGTGAGGGTAGGGACACTTATAAAGAGAAAGTTTGTGTTTAGTGTGAGTAGCACTAAAGGGGACCTGAATGGTGCAACAAACAGGATGTGATGGTGATGATGTTTATACAGGATCTACAAATCATGCCTCTTACAGCTAAAATAGAGAATAGAAACATTAGATATAAAGCTGCTTAAGGTTTTTATTCACACACACTATCAAATGTGTGTAGATAACAGGGAGAAGTTATTTATAAAGACATGTGGCCAGATTCTCACATGAATCAGGAATAACTCAGCTTCAGCATCTCTAATCCAGATTGATCTGCACACCTGGCTGGGGAAAGACTCCTTTCCTTGGCTTTTACATATGGGTCAGAAATGATGTACAGCAATACTCACTGATATCTTGAAGAATTACAGAGCACTCACTATTTTACCGAATCTGTGTTTCTGTAAATCAATCTTATTTCAGATTCCCATATATGGGGAAGAATTATCAGAATTGCTGGAATTATCAAGGGGGAGGGTTCTCCTCCTGGCTGATTGTAGTAAAAGAGAACATTCTATGATGATAATGAAGTACTTATGTAGTTTTTCTGATTAATTTTTATAATTAAATAGTGAAAGTATAATTAGTGTAATTATTTTAGATGATTGTGTATAATTATTTTGTATGTAGTTTTCTAGGAAAATTTATTTACCTGAACTCTGAAAAACACTTGGAGCTGGAAGACATCTAGTCCCTGATCCAATTTGTCTCTAAAAATATTTTCCAATGGTTTAAAATCTTTGAGGATGCTCTTTCTGGTGATGCATGGATAGATATGCATAAGCATCTAGAAAAATTAGTTTATTAAATTTTCTTCTTTTCATATTAAGATAAATTTATAACCATTTACATAATGTTATTATCACAGTTTTGTATAAGTGTTCAGCACATGGTAAAGCATTTTCATTCTCCCTAGGTCTGAGTACAGGTGGAACTGGCCATGAGCAAAATGATAAACTTAAAATTTCTCTGGTACATTCATATCCTGGGTCATAGTTCCACCATTACTTACTTAGTGTCTTTCATGCTATCCGATTCCCTGCCTGTTTGTTTTGCTTTTTGTACCCTGCCAGCTCTTTTTCTGTAGGTACTATAGCACACACCATTGCTCCAGTCAGCCATCTCCACCTACTGCTTTGATGTTGGTGTCAGTGGTTGATGGGAATAATAGCTCTCTGTTGCTCCATCAGTACTGGTTACTATTCTTGGTTTCTACCTTGCAAGTTTAATTTAGCTGATGTATGTACTGAATGCACTAACTGTAGTACAGACATATACTCAAAGCTGAGTATTAGTTTCAGGTAATTGTAAGGTGTATTTCTGTCTTCAGTCTCAGAAAATAAAAGTACAGGCATCCCATCAAATCTCCAACAAAGTTGTTAGCAAAATTCCAGCTAAGTTAGCAATCCAAAGTAGAAGAAGGGGGAAAAAAAGAACTTGTCAGCAGCAGACTTTTGTGCATTACAGTCCTGGCCAGTAAATGCCTAAGTATTTTTTTAAAAAGTTTGAAAAGAGTTGTCTGTTGTCACACAAGAAAATAAAGTGTTTATTTAATATCATATGTCTCTTACCAAAATGAACAAGGATCATAATTTGTATGTCTAATCCTTTTCATTAACAGAAGGATTTCATGAGTGTAGAACTTAGTGGTGGGCGTATAAAAGTCAGCTACGATCTGGGTTCAGGTACAGCTTCTGTTACCAGCAACCGAAACCATAATGATGGCAAATGGAAATCTTTTACGCTGTCAAGAATTCAAAAGCAAGGTGAGTTCCTGTGATGTCAGCACCATGACTTTCCCAGTTACCTGTACAGTGCAGCTAACCACCTAATCATGGGGAAGATGTTGTGCAAAACTGTTGGAATTATAAAGTTCTAATGATTTAGAAACTTATATTGCTTAGCTTGCAGGTGCGTTGAGTTGCATGTGAGTGATTGTGCTGCCAAACAGGCCTTTTATGAACAGGTAGCTTAATTTAGAATTACATTCTAAAATGCATCTGATAGGGGAAAAAAAGAAGGTTTTTTGTCAGGTACCATATGTCAAAATTATTCAAAATGATAAAACAAACCTGTGTGATTTTTGTTACGACAGCAATAGCTGTCATGCTGTACAGTCCTCTCATGCTCAGCATATCCCAAAGCACTTAAAAACAGCAGTGACTTTCGTCCTGATAGCCTGTCTACAGTCAGTAGACCAACTCAACAACTATTTTACCTTCTCTAATGATCTGCAGTGTGCCATGATCTGAATCTGCATGCAAATAAGTGGGAGCATCTTCAGAAGTGCTACTAATTCTTCTACTTCTTATTGATGCAAAATGTAAAGTGATGTCATTTAATAAGATTGCAAAGAATGCTGGCTATCATGCAGGCAAACCTCTTTTTTGGTTTGTTTTTAATCTAGTTTTAGGACTGGTAGAATCTTTCTTGAGCCAAATTAATTTTATTTATGGCACCTGTAAATTTCTAGGTTTCTTTGTATCATGAAGTCTTATTACATTCCAGGGCCCCTGAACACACTCTTCCTCCCTCTGCCCACCTTCAGTGCCAGCTCTCTGTCTGACCTTCACATCTCAAACACATGCCCATCCTCTTGTCATTTGGACTTGGGAGCTGGGACAATGGCCAAAATAACCTGGGAGCTCTCAGTTGCAGGTTTTCTGCACTTTTAGATGAGGAATGCCTTGTTGCTATCCAGTCATCTTAGCTTTTAATTGAAAAGGTATTGAGATAAAATATGTCACATAATTGTAATTTAATAATTCCATTCAAATATAGCATATGTTTTTAAAGAAGATACAAGATAGAAATTAAAGGAAAATTAATCTGTTCACAGTTAGGTACAGCAGGAAAGTCTGTCCCCCATTCAATCATCTTTCACTCCTGAAAACTATAGTTTGGTTTCAGATTGTACACATTCCTTCCCTCTTTTAAGGCATTTATTTAGTCAGTTGCTGCTACAAGAGACTCACCTGTCAGGAGAGCTTCTATCAGAGAAGGTATTGCCATACTCCCATTGCTCCTTCCTCTCCATGGATTGTAGATTACCTCTTCTGGACAGTCCTCCCTCTGAAATCTCATAAGAGGTTGACAGACCTTTCACTTCCAGACTCACTCTAGTCCATATTTAACCAGAAATCAGGCTGATCACTTTTTTAGTTAAAATAAAGGTTCGTTTTATTCCTTAGGTATGTAGATGGGGGGAGTGGAAGGGGGGGAGCGGGGGGAAGGGTAATGTTAAACAATCTCTTGCATTTCACTGTCTGAAGGAAAAAAAACAGGAAGGTAAGAACCCTTTCTTTGCATCCCTATGGTAGAATATCCTTTTCTTCCTTGGGGGCTGCTTAGCATTTTTCACTATGTCTTGTCTCATTGAACTTTATATTCTGTACATTTAAAATAAACATGGAACAAGCATTTAAATAGGATAGTTGTATGTAGTGCATCACTGACTCCAGACTGAAATTAGACATGACAGCAACTGAGTGCTTTGGGTTTGACAATGGTTTAGCCTGATCACCAATCTTTAAAGCACATAATGACAATGCTTAACAAAATTCTACTCTAAAATATCCTTCTCAAGTGACAACCTTTGCACTGACATCAAAAATTAAATGTAAAATGATCTGTTCTGTCTTGACTTTGTCCTGAAGTGTTAGCTCCAAATTACATTGACACAAAGAACATACCAAATTGGGACAGGTTTAAAGAATACATAGAAAGCATACAGAATTGCTATAGCTTTTCAGGTTGTTATGGAAACAAAGGAACATAGAGACCTCTTCCCCTGCCAGTAATTGACAACATGGAAATCCAGTGTCTTAATTGCAAAATACAAGCCTCCTTGCCTCTCCTGTCACCTGCTAACCCTCCAAAAATTTCTCTTTTATTCTCTTACATTAAGACATCTTTGTTTGTGTCTGATAATTTGAAACTAATCTCAAATGTCTTCCAGCCAACATATCAATTGTAGACATAGACACCAATGAAGAAGAGACCATAGCAACAGCTTCTACAGGCAGCCACTTTGGGCTCAACTTAAAAGGTCATGAGAAAATATATTTTGGGGGATTGCCAACCCTGAGAAATCTAAGGTAATGTTGCTCTAACCAATTTCTTTACCTTTGATAAGGGAATGTAAATGCAGCGTAATCTTATTCCCTGTATTTATCTCTCAAGTTTACTTGCAGTAAGTGAATGGTGAGTTCCCAATGTAACCTATATTGCCACAGCAGACAAATGCTTTATTTGCATATGTTGTGTGTTTCAATGTATTTCACAGCTTACATTACACAAATACATTGGAAATAGCAGTAATGGTGCAGTGCATCTTTCTGATGCTGTGCAAGAGCCATGATGTAGCTGACTTTTAAAGAGGGGTTTTTTTTGTTTGATAAGTAAAATTTTTGACTTAGAACTTACATAAATGGCTCCATACCTCCACAAAATTAAGTACAAGTGTTTAGCTTGTGCACAAGTGGAAAAAATGAACTACAAATTGCTCCTCAGGGGATTACTGTTAAATGGATATGCACGCTTTTGCAAAAACAGAGCCAGTATACTTTCAATATGTATAAAAATACTTTGTTTAGATATAATATAAAATTATTTGTAGACATAAGTTCCTGAGCTTAAAGTCCTACTGTATTAGAAACTTAAAGTATATAATACAATACTGGTGATTTATTTCATGTAAGTAAAATGAAATATGGCAACCTCTCCCCTTCAGAAGCCTGACCCTGAATTTCTTAGACAAATAGAATTCCCAGCATTTATTTTTAAAATATTGCATAATTATTGATAAACTTTAAGCTACAATAAACTAAAGAAATGGGATAACAGAAACATGAATTTAGTGACTCTATTACATGGTTTTTAATGGACAAAACCAACTTACTTACCTTTTAAATGAATATTCAGCAGTTTTGCAATGACAAGAACAAGAGAATTCTGTGCTACAAGGAACAGATGAGCAACACAGAAACCAGCCTATTAATCTATGTCAGCTTTAGCTACATGGCCTAATGACAGCCTTGAAGTGATCTTGTGAACTCTTGTGATGAGTCCACAGGCTGTTCCACAACTAAAAGAATGGACGATATTTGTTCATTTATTAGGTTAACAAAGAACCTCTGATGTCAAATCATCCAGTAATAAAAAGATCTAAGATCTCTTTTACTCATGAAATATAACGTTATATTATGTAATTGTGAAATCACATCAGTGCATAACAAAATGTCTAGACCAATTATCCTCCAGCAAATCCTTTGTGATTACTTAGAAGCTCAGTGTACCACAGCTACTTGGACCATTTTGCCTACAGCTATGATTCGTCATTCACTGGGGCAAGATGAATGTTATGGTAAATTAGAATCAAAAATAGTGAAAAGAGGATAAAGGCAAAGCTGAGCTACTGCACACAATAAACCCTGAGATACCTGTGACTTTGTACTTATCAGGCTGGGTCAGTTCTGCCAAATTCTTTTACATGGTTTGCTTTTACTCACGACCAAGTATAGCAACATATTATAAAAGCTCTCTGATATATTGCGTTTTAAGGTAGCTGTTTGCAGAGCCTGATAGTGGACATAGAATCTCACAATATATTATGTGTTGTTTGTGAATTATCTGCTTCACTGTGAAATGTTTGAACCTTGCTAATATGTATCATTTGCTACAATTAACGTAATTTTCATCTTTTTTTTTTTTTTTTTTTTGTCTTTCTCTCTCACCCTAGTATGAAAGCAAGGTAAAAATAATCAGATTACTTGCATGACTTGCATGTGTCTAGTAAGTGCAGCTTGAAAGCACAGACAGCAATGCAGCAGCAGCGTGTGGGCAGTATTTATACCAGCTGTTACGCTAAGGCTGTTAATTCAGCAAGTTGCTCCTGCTGCAACAAGCAAAGCTGCCTCCAAGTGCTTAATACTGTCATCTTAGATGCTGTGCACACACCTACACAAGCAACTTTTATTTCCTTCACACAGCTGCTTACTTCAGCTGTGTTTGTTTACGACATTGGAATGGCTCGGAAGCAAAAGCTACAGCAAACTGTATTGCTGAGTTTGGCTCTGACCTCCAGGCTGAAAGAGCAACACGGTCCCGAGTCAGGCAAGGAGCACTGAATTCACAGCAGTGAAGTAGTTATTGAGGAGGGTATGAAAGTGAGGCACAGAGTTTTGTGAAATTTGCCACTTCTGATTTTAAGAATAGGAGGATGAGGGGGGTGGGGGAAGTCACCTATTTCTGATTGTATTTTCAGTTTGCATCTATTTGTGTCCATTACTTCTGCCTTGGTATGCTCAGATATGTACTGAACTTCGTTATGTTTTGCAACTTAATTCCTGGCTTGAATTTAAAAAATTCAACCCCTACCCCCACTCCTAAGAAACATCATTTCCTCCCAAGTTCCAGAAATCTGCTTGTGTTCCCTTGAAACTGATCTTAGTTTGGGGAATTAAAAAAAAAAAAAAAAAAAAAAAAAAAAAGGCAAAAAAAAAGGCAAGTATTTATGCAAGATCTGGGTGAACTTGGATCTTGTTTTGTATGTTTTGGAAGGCAACAAGGGAAAAAGGAAGTCCCAAGAAAACATCAAGCAAGCGTTCAATGTTTGTGAGGATATAGGGTTCATATGGGTTAGGAATAATGAGATAACAACAGCTAACTGTAACAGGACAGCACTAGAGCAGCCAGTCACTGGAGAGGGCAGGAAGGGGGTAGGAACATGTGTGGTTTCTGGATGGCAAAGACAGGAGGCTGTGGGCACTGCTGGCAATGATGTGGCAAAACTGTTCTGCTGCTGGGAAGATGAGTGAATAGAGGAACTGGAGAACAGCTAAGAAATTTTTTAAAGAATCAAAAATTAAAGGTGACCATAACTACACGGCTGTAAATAAAACAGAATATAGCTTATTTTAGTAAACTAGAGGCTTGCTTTAACTTCTACAGAGAATGCTACTTTGCCAGAGAATACACCACGCTTGCTAAGACAGCTACAATGCAAAAAATGGCTTTCAGTATCAAAACATGCAGCTGAATAGTATCTGTGCAAAATGGTTTCATTTTGTGATTAATATTATGTTAAATCTTCTCTTTCCTTACAGAGAGCTGAAATGTTGATTTTTTTTTATTCTCCCCATAGTTTTAACTCCTTATTTATTTTCAAAAATCATTTTTCTTTCTTTGACCTGCTCATATTATTCAGATATTCTAGTAAACACTCATAAAATTATGAATGAATTAACTAATGCTTTTTTCTTTTTGGGTTTACTCTCCATGGTATGAGTAGCAATTCTTTTTCTGAAGTGAGTTTGTAAGGCTTTTCTTCTTGCAAGCCTGGTTCAGGTGTTACCACCAGTTTTATGGTCCCAGGCCTGGGAGGTCATACTTTTGCATTCAAGTATGCTAGCTTTGGTATAACTTTTGTGGGTTTTCTCATTTCTTCTGTCAACCAGATGATGCATCAAGCTATGAAACTTTGCAGTTCTGTTACAGTATTCTCCTGTCTTGGCTACATAGTTATGTTCTGTAAAAAACCCAAGTGTTTTGTTTTCTTCAACTGCCTGAGAAAGTCCAATGTATTGCTGTGTCATAAGAAAATATGCAGCAATTTTCGTAAGAAAAATACTGGGAGTATAAAATATATTAAAAACAATTGTCAGTCCACTTTAGCATAAAGAACTCCTAAAGCATAAAAAAAATAATCAAATGAATTTTTTTTTCAATCTTTGGCAAAGACTTTATCCAAAATGTTTGTACATTACTAGAGTCTCTCTTTCATTTGGATCTAGTATGCAAAAAGAAGATGAAACATTTGTCTTCCAGTTAAGGTCTCTCCTTTTTGTTATGAATTCCTAGGTTGTATCTTTGTGCTTTGCCTAAGGAACAACTACTTATTTCATACCTCACTGCATTTAAACAAAGGTGACAGCATTCCTTTACCAAAAAAAAAAAAAAAAAAATTTTAAAAAAAAAAAATCATATCAAAACCCAACACTAAAGTAAAGCAAGTCAAATGTTGTCAATTGGAGATGAGATGAATCTTCTGTTACACCTTGGAGTGATGCAAGGCAGAGTGCAATATGTGCTGATAGGTGGTAGAAGGCAGAATGTATCTATTTAAGTGTATGTGTGTATTTAAAAAAAAAAAATAATCAAGCATCTGTGCATCTGACAGTGCATGTGTGTGCATTTGGGTAACTGTGTTCTTGAACTCTATTTTTGAAAACACATTGTACTTCTAAATTTTTTTTAGACCTGAAGTGAACTTAAAGAAATATACAGGTTGCCTCAAAGATATTGAAATTTCAAGGACACCATATAATATATTGAGTAGTCCTGACTTTGTCGGTCTAACCAAAGGATGCACGCTAGAGGTTAGTCTGATTTCTATGTGTTTTGGTCTTAATGGGTATCAATGCTTTCTAGTTTCTGATTTTATGGCATTATTAATTCACTGTATAAAGCATATTCAGACAAACATAGGGATCTAACCTGAAAATTAGAAGTTATGTTTAAGAGAAAGAAAGATGAATGAGTCTGATCAGCAATTAGACCCGTTTTCTGGATCCGAACTTCTTGGCTAGTATCCTTGGCCAGTTGTGATATCCCTGTCCCTATCAGGTAGGATTTTCTGAAATGCTTAGCATTAGTCTAGCTTTGTTTCAACTGACTAAGATTGGGAATTGTTGACGTTAATAAGGCTAGAATTAGCCAAAATAAAGCTGCCTTCATCAGAGCAAAAAGCACACAGCAATAGGACTCTCTCACACAGGTTATTAGGTTCAATGGACCTGTCATGAGATGACCATTTTCAAGTTTGTCATAAAGCTAAACTGTAAATAACCAGATTGCTCAAATGCTTTAATACCTCTCAAATTTGGTTTCAGCAAAAATTCTCTACAGAAGTTCATGTTTGTCTTCAGTTTATTATATATTCTTTCCTGAATAGGAAAGAAGAATAGCTGTGTTCGTTTTCTTCTGTTGGCTATGAATCTTAGGAAGTGCTTTGCTTTTCATGTTATTTTGTAACACTTGAGTTTTCAGGGTATGAAGTCTAATTAAGCATTTTGTTGGGGAATTAAATAAAACATTCTAATTGTACAAAACAGGATATGTACCATAATTAAAAAGAAGTGAAGTAAAAGCAAAAGATAGGGTATACACTCAATTGTTTAAATCCCCTCAGATTTCAGAGAAAGCTGAACATCGTCATCAGTGATTTTAGCTGGCATAATCTATTATCTCTAGACCTGAAAACTATTCTACTATACTGAAAAATGATGATTTACTTTAAAAAATGTCACTGTTTCTATGGAGTGGCCTTCTGCAGCTGGATGAATACATGAATTGGTAGTCATTACAGAAGATACTTCAGGAGTATGCATTAATTTATTATTTGATGACATTCTCTACTCTTTAAATTGTGTTAATGGCTACCATTGTCCAAGGAGTTGGGCCGTGTGCAGTGGTTACTTCGTTTATGAGCCCGACTCATCAAGAAAGCAGTGGTGCTTAGTGAAGCAATAATGATGAAGCCATAATGACAGGTTTATGAAAAGTATGTTCTGGGCATATTTGACAAATAATAGAATCCAGTTTAAGTTCATATCAGCTGTTGTTATCTATTGCATTGATTTAAAAGCAAAATCCCACTGTATTAAACTCAAAGGAAAACATTCATGTTAAAAAAGACCTGTGAGCAGTTATTTTTAATCCAAGATAGTAATACTGAAATACGACTGGAACTTTGCCTTCCTTCAAGACAGGATTCCAGAAATACTCTAATGATGCCAGATGTAAACAGGTAAATTAGTGTTTGCACAACACTTTGAGAAGTAAATTGCTTAGTGTTTATTATTACTTTCCATCTCTTTACACTGGTTATATTTGCATAATTTATTATTTTATTTAGGAAATCTTTCTGCATGTTCATACTCTTGTTTTTAATCCTACTAATGCACTTTCTTGTCCTCTTCTTCCTACAGAACATTTTTACAGTTAGCTTCCCCAAGCCAGGTTTTGTGGAACTGCAGCCTGTGTCCTTTGACATGGGCACAGAAATCAATCTCTCCTTCAGCACCAGGAATGAGTCTGGGATCATCTTGTTTGGCACAAGTGGCACAGTTGTGCCCCCCAGGAGAAAGCGCAGGTATACTGGAAGGAAAGCTGCCCCTATGAGAAGAAAGCGCAGACAGACAGGACAGGTATGAAGAACCTAACAAAAGATAAAGAAAAACCACAACTTTCCTGAAGTCCTTCCACTTGGCTTGTTTCAAGACACTATCAGATATTCATACATAAATTAAAATTCCGTGCTTGGGAATAAATGATTTGTAATGCTATACTTTATCTGATGGAGAATCTGATAGAGGCTCAGAACTGGGTTTCTCCACTGGAGTAACTGGTTCTCTTAAAGATTTACAATCAGTAAACAAAACTAGATTTATTTTTCTATCATATAGATGCTTCCATGTTGTGGGTTTTTTTTAATCAGACCTAAATATTAGAGAATACTGCTTTTCACTCATTCTGAGGACTACTTATGTACAATTAGTGCTTGGAAATATCTTTCATTCCTGTTCATATAGACATAAATGAGGATCATTCTGTTTCTTGAGATGAAAAAAAGAAAAACCAAACCTGCTAAAAGTAGTGCAAGATAAGCCCCTTTTTTGGGATTACTGCTGTAACATATAAGACTTAAGAGTGGTCCAACCTCTCTCTCCCTATAAAATATAAATCTGCAGTATAAATCCTTTATGAAGATGATAGCATCAATCTGTTCAGAGGAAGTATCTACAGAGTCCAAGTGACTAAGTGTGATTGCTGTTAGACATTATTCCAGTCTTGATTAATTAAAAAACCAACATATAGGCATACTACAACAGAGGTAAACAGAATATTTTGATGCTTTCTTTGTTCAGGACTTCTGGAAAATGATATTTCATTATTTTCCTTCCTGCCTGTTTTGGAAGAGAGCTCTCAGTGACCTGGAGGAACACGCTCCAGGGGCAGCATATTATAATGGCTCACCCACATGACATTAACTTCAGGGCAGGGGCTCCTTTATCATTTCCCAGCTCTTCAGGTCACAGAAGTGAGCATGACACTCATTGCTATAGTAACTGGAGGTTAGATGCTGAAATTCACTACAACATGATATTGGTTGCTAGAGTAACTACTAGCATGATTCGCCAGCCCTCCAAATGCAGGACTCACACTGAGATCAATGCTATTCAGGGCGTGATGGGTTTAAGACAAGGCCTTGTAACAGCAAAAATCAGTATAATTGTAGGTTAGAAGGCTCCATCTTTCCATGCAAATAGGTATGCAGAGAGTTAAGTCTTTTGATGAGGCTATCCAGCGTGATCTCATTTTACCCGTTCCTTGTTACAAAACTAGAGAGACTGAATGTAGCAACAGCAGCAAAATAGAAACTACAGAATCTTATCTATGGTGAGAAAATTAAAAAAAAAACAGAGTAAGAAAATAAAACATACAGCCAAATGTAAAACTAAGTGAAATAATTTCTTTCCCAATGTGTCACACCTTCTCACACCAACATACACACTGCAGGCCTATTACGCCGTGTTCCTGAACAGAGGCCGACTGGAAGCGCACGTCTCCACGGGGACACGGGATCCCTACAGGATCACCACCAGACCAGAGGCTGGCGAGTTTCACGACGGCCGAGCGCACTCCGTCCGGATAGAACGAGCCACGGGGTAACAAACACCTAGAAATGCCGTAGGCCTCGCAACACAGCTAAGTCAACAATGCAAATGTCCTAATGGCTCAGCAGTCCATGTAAATGCTTCTGCTGAGGCAAAGGTTTTATTGTATTTCCATCCTTATCTAAAAGTGTTTAAAAGTTTGTTTCTGACAGTGCTGATTATTCTGCAGAGCTGGATTTACATGCTTTCCTAGGCTACCTCAGCCTGTATCTCCACAGACCTGCATTTGTCTGGACTGGTATCTTTAACCTTCTGGTTCTCAGCAAATATATTGTATTAATTGAATCTGTGGATGAGAAATACTGCTGCGGTGCAGTAAATCACCTTTTGAAGACGTGTAGAAAAAGACCATTTTCAGAGTGTAAGAACAGCAACAGCACAGCAGCCTATAGCCTTTTTGAGATGCCATGTGCTAGTGTAGATACATGGGGTCACAGCAGTGCCCAGAAAAATAAGGTAAAGCAAAAAAGACACACAGTCCCAGATAAATGTCCGTCATTTTATTGCAGGCATTCTCAGACCATGTTGTTTGAAACAAAGTATTACTTAAATTGCTGCTTCTCAGACAATGTCAAAAATCCTAATTACACTTCACCATTCAGAAAGTGATTAGAAACGGCACCGTTGTTGTGTGGCTCAAGCAGCCAGTATTATTTATGGCCTGGAACAGCCCTTGTTCCAAGTAGGGTTTCTTGTGGACATTTGGACATACAAATGCATATGTACTGGACAGACATTCAGTGGATGGGTGCACTATGGACAATGTTCTGTTTTGTTTAAAAAAAAATTAGAAAGAAGATAAGACATCCAGCATGTTACAAAATGGGCTTATCTAAGCACACTGAACACTACACCCTCTTACCCCCATAACACTGCAGCCTTCTTGAGCAACAATTCCTGTCTGTCTAGTCCTGAGGTGCCCTTCTGTCCTCTCTGTAATTTGATTTGCTTTGTCCTTTGTCAGTATAATTTTCTGACTGAATTTCTATTGTATCCTTAAAAACAATCTTGTAAATAATGCCTTCAGACAATATATCTCCCCAGCTTCTTTGACTAGTTTGAGGAAAAACAGTAAATTCTTTGGGACAAAAAGTTATTTCGGAAATGAATAACTGGATTTTGCAAAGCCTTTTGTCCCACTATGACAGAACACAAATATGCAGATGATAATAAAAAGCTCTAAGCAACAAAGGGAGTTCTTTTATGCAGTGCTACAGCAAGTACGGTAGCTTGACCTGTGAGAGTACATCAAGATAAAATTGCTGTACAATGCCATCCAGTGATGATGCTTGTTGAGATGAAACTTCTGTATTTTCAAAGTAGCTCTGTTACAAAACAAATTGAACTCTGCAGTTTCTGTAACCTGAAATGGATGTGAAAAGATAGAAATTAAGATTAACTCCTCCACTACTCATCACAAACTTAATAGTTTTTTTTATTAAATATGAGGAACACCCTTTGAAAACTCTTCAGAGAGGTAATTATCCATATAATTATGAAGTATTTCCTTTCTCTTCCAAGGTAATTCTAAGATAGTGTTGATGACTAATATATATGGTTGTATGATTCTGTTTGGGACCAAATTTGTTTACTATGGTAACAGCTAAAGATGAGATTAAATATTACATGCTGATTAAAATATTGACAATTGGTAGCCATGGCTAACATGCAGCAGCAAAAAGGATAACCTGGCTCTTGACAATCTGATTTTCCTACACTTCCTCTGAAGGATTTTTCTATTTCCATTTCCACAGCTGAAGGGTCATGGGAAAGTACTAGAGATTGTCTCAAAAGTTAAGCCTTTTAATCCCACTTTCTCCAACCCTTTCAAAAATGCATTACTTTCTTACTCTACAGCTTTCTAGACCAAATGAATCCATCCAAAACTATGAGGAAATTGGACAATCTGTATGTAGCACAACAGTTACCTAATTTGGTCACTATCAGTTCTGTCTAGGACTATAAAAAGCCAAACATTTTACATATGAAAATGGGCCTCTTTTCAATAAACATTTTAAATATTCAGTTGCTAACATTTGTAAATGTTGTTAAGGAAGAATACTGGAGTTCAATAAGATTTTGCAGTTGAAAGAAGTGAGGTTATTTGCCAGAAACATTATTTCTGGTATGTCATAAGGATGCTCAGTAATACTGAAAAATCAAGCTGCTTACTTACAGATACCAAATCTGGGTTTAGACGATTAACTGTAGTCAAAGGTGCTTGAATAGTTAGGTCCTGATGTTTAGCATGACTGTAACATACCTGAAATCAAAACTGCACTTTATAAATTGTATCAGTGTTTAACAGAAATACTTATGGCTTCTTCTGTGGTCCTGATTCTCTCCTGGCCAAATTCTAGACAGTTAAAGACAGTTGTATAACATTAAGAAATCATGCCAACTAGCATTCTACATTCACCTTCAAAAATGCTGAAGTTCCTATCCATCCTTTGCCACTTAGCTCACCTTGAGCTGGATTAATTCAGAAGTTGGAGATTTTCTGTTTCATCAATGGTAAACTGTCACAAAGACAGCAGTTAAATTTTTTACTCTTGCTGTTTTACCTTCTTATGTATGTTACCAATGAAAATAATACACAGTCTCTCAATTCCATAGCCCTAACATTAATGCTGCTTTCTCAGCACACACAATGCATGGCTTGGCAAATTAGTTTTTCACTTTCCATCCTCTTTACCATGTTTCCTGGTAAATGTGGAAATCCACAACATTTGCACCTCAGTAGCTTTGACAGGCAAGAGCATTCAGACTTTCTCTCTTATTTGATTCTTGCTTTTACTAGAATAAAGCCCTTCACCATAATTACCCCTTTAGTCTTTCCTCTTTCTTCCATTCTTTGAGCTGGCTTGGTCAGCCAGTGGTGCTGTGCTTCAGAGGCTTCTGCCTTCCTCTGTTCAACCTTAACAGTAACTTCCATAGGACTGCTTTCTCTTTAACTTATACCATGTGCATTACACATGAGAATGCATTTTAGCACTTGTATCAGTACATGGTGAACATTCAGCAGTTTTTCTACTCTGCCATCTCCCTCAGAAAAAAAGCTACCAGATCTTTAAAGAAAACTGTATGGTATGTATCTGTGATTGGTTCTGCAATCAGAGCAGTCTGCAGCAGTGTACATTCTCCAGCAAGAGGAGGATAACTTGTGCAAATTGGGAAACAGAGAGACGAAACAAAATGTGTTCCCCTGCTGTTCCCATCCTGCTGAGCCCTAGAAGATTATATCTACCACCACTGTACTGCAGGCTGGGCACTTACCATGTCAGTGTTGCCACTCTACAAACCACTTCTTCCTATTTACCCAGTGATACCACCTCACTGCAGCACAGCTTTGCTAAGCTGTCAAAGAACTACCAAGGAAGCATAGCAGTGGCTGAAAACCTTCTAGTGGTTAATATGCATTTAATGTGAGCTGCTAATTACATAATTTGGGTTGCTTAGTGTTATAGCTGATGTAGGAGTAAATGGGGCCTGTAAAGTGGTGATTTCAATACAAGCAATAACCAGAGTACAATACTTATTTCTTTGCTTTCAAATCTTTCTCACAGGATGTTCACCGTTCAAGTAGATGAAGACAAAGTCCAGACTCAGAGGTTGCCAACAGACCAGCCCATCTCTGTTAAGAAACTCTTTGTGGGGGGTGTTTCTTCTCAGTTTCAGACTGCACCTATCAGAAACATCCCACCGTTTGAAGGCTGTATATGGAATCTTGTCATTAATGCCACGTAAGTCTTACTGATGCCAAAAAATGCCTAGTTAATGAGGCCTGGCTAACCACCTCGGCTGCCAAAAGAAACTTCATTGTTGCAAGGAATCATGCTAACAGCAAATCCTAGAATACGACCTGTTTTCTTAATATGGCCACCTTTTTTTTTTTTGTCTACAATACATGCTCCATAGGCTGTGCAATTAATGAACTGTTTTACAGACAAGCCAACAATTGTCTATTTATCCATAGCATCAGAGCAACTCAACAGAAACACCGCAGTAAGATTTGCCTCAGTGATAGGTATTTATGGTGTACTATAGCACTTTATTTTAAGTAAGGTTGAACTCCAAGAGTATGTAAATTTTGAGAAGCACCCTGGGAATTAATTTGCTTTATGGAAAGTGCATGCCACAGTAATCTGGAAGGAACATCTAAGTAAAAAAAAATGGATCAGGGAATAAAGTAAAACCTCTATAGAAAGTTCCCATCCAAATCTTTCTTTCACATAACTGGAGTACCTGAATTAGGACCTCATCACACCACACTCCATCAATGTACATCGGAGGGAAGGACTTCCCTGCAATGTGATTCAGCTTACCTATGTTGATAAGCTTTCCAAAGAAGACGTCTGTCTCTCTGCACTGACTGTAAGAAGGAAAGCCAAAGGTGACTAGCACCTCTAAGATAAATGTCCCACTTCGGTACCTAAAACAGATAGGATGAATCCTGGCTCTTGAGACCTGTGATGTAGAATTGCACAGCAACATATAGCTATTCATTATAAATGAGTCATAAAAAGGCAGAAAAAATAATAACAGACATCAATTTCTTTGTGTGTTCTCAGCCCCATGGACTTTGCTCAACCCGTGTCCTTTGAAAATGCAGATATTGGCCAATGCCCCTCTCTAGAACCAGAGGTTAGGCCATCTGAGGATGAAGATAAACCGATCCACACAACAGTCCTGATCCAACCTGAACCAGACACTAATGGGGAGAAAGAAAGACCAAGGACAACTCTTGTTTCCCCTCCTCCTCCAACATCAGCTCCATCTTCAGCACTTGTAAGTGTAGATCACTTCACACACATAAAGTCTGAAAAGTTTCTTTTTCTAGGCAAAACTGAAAAGCTAGCCATCAAGAGTAATGAAGTAATTTACCACAAATATAGTAACAACTCAGCATGATATTGTAAAAGGAACACTTTGTTGTAGGTCAGTAAAAACTGTGGAAAATAGAAAACTGGGCGATGTAATTTGATTACGACAACTGTAGTTTAAAGAAGCATATAGGAATAGAATTCACTTTGGTTTGCACGCTTAGCCTTAAAGCCTTGCACTTCAGGATGCGAGCCAAGCAACACCTGATTTGGGCTGGAAGGGAATTTTTCCTAAGGGAAATCCATTTTGTTATGGTATTTCTTGTGCTGTTCTTAGAAGCACATGATAACAGCCATGTTCAATGACAGGATGAAGAAACAGGTAAGTGAGAAAGGTCTGTTTGATATAGCAATTCCTCCACTGCTATTTTATAACTTTAGTCAGGAGACCTAACAACCTTAAGAACTTAAATCCCAGTCACTGCTAAATTAAATTCAACTGTTCTTGCCAGAAATCTTAAATAGCTACATAGTGGGCAAGCAGTCTTATACAATGAAATTTAAGAATAAACTTCTTCTGTCACATTCACTCACTGTTACTTGACTCATTTTCAAAATTCATATCTGGTTTTCCTTAGACATAGGTAGGATTTGTAACAACATTTTCCTGAAGAAAAAAAATGGTACAAAAAATACACCAAACCCCTTAACTCAATAAGTTATTCATTAAGTCATATTTGAGATTCATAGCCACCTTCATTGTCCAGGTCTATATGGTACAGCTTTATCTAGAAGGACTTACCAGGCACAACTGGAGTCTCTACAGCTCATGCAGCTACCTGTGTACCTAGAAACAGGAGCCTAGGTTTAAAGATAGATGTGCCTCAAGCCCCAGGTTTACCTGTGTCGGCCTTTTAATGCTCTAGGGCAGCATTTTTGGTTCATTCCCACAAGGTGGAGTACTTGTAACACGAGGGCTCCGATGCATCTTTCTGCTTGGAGTTAAAAGCAAGTAAATTTGCAGTATAGTAAAGATACCATAGGAAGGTAAGGAACCAGGCAACAACAAGGTAAAAAGACTTATCAAGTTTAGTGTTCACTGTTGTGAAAGAGTGCAGTTATATTATCCCTTGATCAAGCATTATAAACAAAATAAAAATCCACAGAAGGGCATGAGAAAGCAAGTCCATACTTTCTAAGAGTCTGAGCAGTAGCTTTTAAATAGAAAAACTGAGAGTAGATCTATTCATTAACATCAGAAACTAGTCCCATTGTAACTAGGTGAGCTTTATATATCACATATCCACAGTCATGATAACTTGGAATGAGTTCAAAATAAAAATCTAATTAAAACACCATTACTCCACATTTTGTCTTGGAAAAAATTAAACTGCTTTAGTATTGCGAAGACTTGGAAATATTTTAAGTAAGGCAAGCTTTTGCATAGTTTTTTTGTTCATCTAAGTTACTTCTCCAAAGTATTTTTCTGGGCAATGGTGCAACAAAATAATTAACTACAGTCTAATAATGACATAGCAGTCATATGACAGTTAATTATACAGAAGCTCGGTGTAGAAGGATTGTATATGGGAAGCACACAGTTATTTCCACATAGTAAGTTTAAATAAGATATCTGTTTTACTTAAGTCCTTTTAGGACCTTTTTTATCTCTATTATCCATCTGCATGTAAACAGGGAGGGAAGTTTATTCCCAAATTAAAAACAAACAAACAAACAAACAAACAAAATACCCTCTACTAAAGGCAAGACAAGATCTGGAAGGGAAGTAAGACAGTTAGGAAGTACACTGGTGACCAGCCTGCTGCTGCTGCTTGCTGCAGATGCCAAAATGTTTCTCAACATGAGGTAACTGCTGCTTCTGCCTCATGTTATTCACTGCTTCTCAGGATTCGCTTGCCACTGAAATGAAGAGCGCCAGCATTACTTCTGCATTTGACTCCATTATGGTATCTTTCCACTATTTCTCCATGCATTACTTAATTGTTTTATTAGCACTATTCAGTGAACTGTCAGGACTGTGTCAGTGGTGCTCCCTTTTTCCCCTAATTACTTTCTTTGTAATTACTAATACAGCACTGTTTGTCAAGAATGTGTGACAGTCCTCCAGTGGGTTTTTCTGTTCTTCATTTCCACGAGATACTCACCTAGCTTCTTGACTTCCCAGTCAAGTCCCTGTCATCTGACAAGCCTGAAGTAAAGGGCAGCTCAAGAGTTCAGTCTTGAGATTCTCAGGTTATATGGGAGATTATTAAACATCCAGATTTAAACCCAAGGCACATTGATGCCATTATTGAAAAAACAAAGCTGGGATGCTTTAATATAGGCTGATGATCCATGTTGAGTTCACAGCCTTATGAAGGCTGTAAAGCTGGCTGCCCTTAGATAAAATGAAAGAAGAATGAGGCTTCTGAATAAAACCTGTAGATTTTTTTAAGCATGCACTGCTGCTTTTTTTTCCTTTTACTGACATTTCCACATCAGCCTGATGAATGTTCATTATTATCAATTAGTATTTACCGGGAAATCATCGGTGTATACCTGCTAGGATTCCAGCCATCACAGTGTGTTTGGCATGCTCCCCCACCCCCTGCCCTTCCTTTCAGTCCTCCTGCTGGGCTGAAGAAAAACTGTCAGAATGTGTCTTTTTACCATGTAACATGTATAAAGTGTGCCACAGAAAAGTGCATGTTAGTGCGTTTTCCAATTCTTTCTTGTTGTTCTGGTACCAGTAGTTAGACCCTGTCTTCAAATTTTAACAAGCCCAAATGCTATTAAAAGTACAATATTATTATTATTGTTGTTGTTGTTATTTAACATAGTTAATTAACATCGCTGTTAAGTTTGTAGATAAACCTGTAAAGCTTAAAAATGAGTAGAAACTTTACCCAGCATTACGGGAAAAGAATTTTTTTTTCCCATTTGATGATCACAGGAAGACTGCAATCACACATTCGTAACTTTGTTTGGTCCTGATGAATTTTCCCTGCTTTACCCCGCCGTTACATATTGATGTGTACTTCTTGTAATGCATGGTGTTCTACTCTGTCATATTCAAACCAGACCATTCACTGTGGAAAACTAATTTTTAGAAGAAGTGCCTTGTACTGTTGTGGAGATTTTTTGTGACACGTGAAAGCAAAACACAGAACACTACTGAAAAACTGAGTGAGAGGGGTAAAGAAATTTCCTCTTTGGGGATGAAATCTTAGTGCTTGATGAGTCATTTGTTATTTTCAAAATGTTTCACAGAAAGAGCTCTTTGTCAGCAAAGCACGACACCTTGTGCTTTGCAGGTCCCTGCTGAGGCAGGGCTCAAATAAGAGACTGTCGCCAATCCAAAATGGTATCAGCCATAGTGCTTAAAAACAGAGCTTGCTGCTATCAAAGTTTGTGTTTTTTCCCCCCAGCAGTATTGTCCTGATACTGTGTTTTGTTAGATCCTTTGAGTAGTTTCCTCACAATACTCTCAGTGGGAGGCAAGAAGCTAGACATGAGTAGGAGCTGGTAATTACGATGCCCCAGGCACCCCAGTACAAGAGCTTTAGAGCCAGAGATTAAAAGACCTGGTGAAATTAAAAGGAGAAAATTATACTGGGCAGAAGATGTTTTACCTTCCATTGTTGCACCACTTTAAGATTCATAGAAGTGGAACAGACAGGGAGGGGTTTCTTTCTTTACACCCTGGGTAATGTGTCTACATTAGACAGCTCAGGGAGTTAAACAGTGGTTACTTCTATCCATCAGTTATTCGGCTTCCTTTATTGTTTGGGGGGGGCTTTCAACAGCACCATGGGAAACAACAGCAAATTAAACAAAGAATACAATTGCAAAACAATATGAAGAAGTAAGATGGAGGACTCGTTGACAAGTGTAGCATCTGAAAATACTTTTAATTCATTGCTTTTAAGATGACTAGTTTTCGAGTCATCAGCAAAGAATCCTTTTAAAGCTTAAGTCTTGCTTCATTTCTGTAAGAGGGCATCCTACTGTGTAAAGCTCAGTTATGTGAGCTAAGGGTACACTGAGCTGCCTGGAAATCACTTAAGACTCTTGTAAATGTCCACTGGCGGCATGAAAGCAGCAACGTTCATATATTACTTTTATTTGCTTTTACAGCCAGCTTAATGAGCTCTGCTTTTGCACCAAGTTTCTGTCATACTGGTGTATAGCTTGATGAGACACCAGCATGCTGGAAAATTGCAGGGCCAGGGTCTAAGATTAGGTAGAGTATTCTCAGTCCTGAGCAGCTGGAAGATTTCCAGTACGTGTCCAGCTGAGATAGATAGAAAACAAGAACTTTGTATGATTGCTGTGTATTTTGCAGGATTCCTGTGCTCCTGACACAGAACCAGCCATTTTGGAAGGTGGCAAGCAATTTGGTCTTTCAAGGAACAGCCATATTGCAGTTGCATTTGATGACACCAAAGTGAAAAACAGGTATGTTATTTATTTCAGCAATGAGTTTTGATGGAGTCATGTCAAAATAAAATACCATTCCTAATATTCTCAAAAATATCTCCCAAATTTGTGGGCATAATCTGAGAAAGGTCATGTCCCATGGCTAATTCATTTTATTAAGCAAACATAAAAAGCATTAAAGAATTAAATTTAGTCCATGAAGTGCCCACCTAAGTAGCTCTCACAAAAAGTTTACCTCTTTGTGTGTAAAGGTTCCTGTGCACACAGATCCCAGACTGATGTGCAGAAAAACAAACAAGAAGAAAGGAACCAGTGCATGCAACTGAGCTCATAGGTTGCTTTCTTGCAAGAAAGTTCCTTGGTTCACTAACCTCTTAATTTCTTGTAATAAGCAAACCTTTTTTTCCTTCTTTTCTATGATAGTTAAGATCAAGCTTGCACAGTAAACAGGGAAAATTACATAGCCCTCCCAAAGTATAATAATATATACAAGTATATGTTGATATGTAAGGGAATTCCAAGAGCTACTTATAAAAATACAGCTGTTTTCAATGAACTTCTGAAGCTATAACTTGCTAATTGTTCATTTTTGCTCTGAAGGCACATGGTCATTACCAAATGTGCCATGGCGTACCATTAGTGGGTTTTGCTGCCTTATAGTTTACAAGTCCATCAGCCTCAACTATATTTTTACCTATAAAGTTGCTGTACTGCTTATTTTCACATACACTAATTTTTAGAAAACTAGGACTATAATGAAAAGAAATATCTAATCCTACAGTCCTTGCCTGTCTTCTTTTCAAATAAGAATCCTGACCTGATCATTTTCATGCAATGTTTTTTCACGTTTATACTATCAACTGCTTTCAGGTACTGACTTTGCAGCTCAGCTTGGGCTAGGTTAGTGATGTGCTGCCAGTAGAACCTTAGCATCCAGATAATGTAAATCATTTCTTCCCAGGTTCTTTGCTGTAGTGGAGGTTTTCAGCATTACCATTTTGTCCAAAGGGTCAGCAGAACTCCTCAGAAACACTCCCATTTTCTTCTGGGAGAAGACAGAATAAGTGTTTTATATCCTGATTGTAAACTCCTCTCTGCATCTTTAAAAGTTTTGCAACCTGTCTTCAGGCAATACAACTCATTAGAAACTCAACATTTGCCAGCTGTCACTACAGCTCCTCTTTGTGAGCATTATGTGTGTGGATGACAGATAACACCACTGGAATTTTACAAGCGCTGGGATTTTCTAGCAGCCACAGCTGCAGCTGAGAATTATATCTTGAAATTCTATGGCATTTCCACAGCAAAGGGATAATGAATACTAACATGTCAAGGATGAGATATGTGTGAAATGCGATTCACGTATAACCAAATTATTTTTCTTAAACTGGTGGACAAGTAAAACAGGCCACTAACTGCGAAGGTTTTTTTTCAGAGGCACAAGAAGGCAAAGCAGACCAATTTGTCTACTGTCTGACTTGGAATATAATTTCCTTTGTTGCTGTTTTCCTGTTTGTTTGATTTCCAGACTTACAATTGAATTTGAAGTCCGAACAACAGCTGATTCTGGCTTGCTGTTTTACATGGCCCGCATCAACCACGCTGATTTTGCTACAGTTCAGATAAAAAATGGACTGCCTTACTTCAGCTACGATCTGGGGAGTGGAGACACCAACACAATGATTTCCAACAAAATAAATGATGGCCAGTGGCACAAGGTATAATAGTCTCCAATGAAAAATTATTCTTTGTAATGCTAAAAGCAACTTTGTTTTGCCTTAAGATATTTGCAAAATGTAGTCTGTACAAGCTAAACTTTACAACAAGGATTTTCTGCAGTCTGCAAAATTTGTGCTTTCAGGTTCTTTGCTAAGTACACAGTACATATTCCAGTAACAAAAATTTTAGCTCTAACCTTTGAAATTTGTCCTTCAGGAAACACATATTTATGGACGTATTTAGAATATGTCCCACGGATTGTAAGGAACTGCAGAAAATGTTCCTTCCTGCCTAATAGGGCTCAGTTGACTATCAGCTGATGGTGATTGAATACATCATTAAACCCAGCTGTTTCTGTGTTAATAATGTCATTGTTCAGCCATAATGCTAAGAACAAAGAAAAAAGAAGTAGCATTTAAGTAAATCTTCCCTGCATTATTAATTCAATTCATTAAGGAATAAATATGATATTCATGGATGCATTTGGCAACCCCTTCTGTGACTTTATAAGAGGAAGCACAATGCCAGTGACATCTGGATGGTAAGGAAGGAGTAATGTCACAACCACAAGTTTAGTGTTTTCTGGGCCAAGAACAACAGACACATAGTATATTCATTAGGTAACATGTTTGAAGGCACCAATAAAGAGAGAGAAGAGAAGAATACATTTAACTATGTATTCAACTTATATACTATAAGAAACATTAAATTTTGGACAGCTATTTGGAAAGTCATCATCCACATCTCTATCACCAAACAAGACAAAATCTAATTGCATTTTCTGTTGGGCTTGAATTGCTCTTATGAAACCCTCTTCTCAGTCATCCTTAGTCCCTCTCTGCTCCATTCCCACCTTGTTCTGCAGGTTTTTTATTTTCACTGGATTTTTATTCATTAACTTTTTGATGATAGCAAATGCTCTATGACAAAGTAGTTCATGAGGCAGATAAACAGAAGTTCCAGTCTTTATTTATCTGGTTTATATAATGCCTAGGAGCACTGTCCACAGACCAAGGCCCCTTTCTGCTAGACCCTCTAAAAATACAGAAGAGATATGTTTTGCCTTTTTTACCCATTTTCTCCCTATTCTAAAGGAACTAACTGGACCATATATTTCTTAATGGAAGACTGTGCATACAGCTTGGCACTCTGTGAGAGAAGGACCCTTATTGTAGATCCCATTTTTGAAGGAGAGAATGGAGACAAAATCTAAAATCAAAGGGCAACCTCTTCAGGAAAAATCCACAGTCTTTATTTTTAAGAAAGCAGGGGCTTCTCCTTAAAATAATCCTTTTAGTGAGAACTTTATCTCTGTTTGAAATGGTTTAGATTAAAACATTCCCATCAGGCCTACAGAAGCCACACTGTGCCACTGCTATCTCTTTAGGTCCTCTGTAAGAGTGTCTGTTCCCAGTTCCTGTCTCACTTGCCAAATCCTCCTTCTGCTCAAGGTGTAATTGTCCATCTCAAATTTACAGTTGTCTGTAAACACCAAGTTCAATCCCTTGCCTTCAGGCCACCGCTCGTCAGTGTTCAGTCATTCCTGCTGTCCTGCCACACTGAAGCAGAAGCATCCATGTTAAATAAAAGCCAAAGAAAAATGCTGTTTGTCTCTTTTTCCTAGTCTGGTGAGCTAACTACAGTACTGTTTAGAAATCTGCTGATATGCATGTTGCATTTTATATTTATCTTTTTTTTTTTTTATGTAGAATCATTATTATTATGATTTCTAGATGCTTCACTATAAAGCTTTGGAAAGAAATTTGCCTGTGGTTGTTGGGGTAGAATTTCATCAACTCCTCAGCAATTGTATTTCCTCCATGAGATTCACAGCCCATTTGTTTGAACAGAAGCCATAATACCAATAGAACGTAGCTGGTATTGTATTCACCCTAACATGAACTATGATCATAGAATCATAGAATCATA